CTGGCAGCCTGCGGTGTTAATTTGTATCTAACCTAGTACGTCACAGTAAATTGCTCAATGCAGAACCAATCATCCGAATGAGGATCCGCCTGGGAGTGATGACTGTACAGACATTAAGGCTTAGTCATTTTTAACTAAGGAGTCAAGATCAGATATGTAACAGAACCAGTAGAATACCTCACAGTATATAATATTCAGCCTAGATGAAATGGTCGTGTCTCATTCTGGTCACACTTCCATCACCATTATTGACCAGATTGATTTTCAACATCTTAATGTTTAATGGTGGACAAGCCCCCATGCTCTACCGTTATATGAGCTGATTAAACCTGTTTAAAGTGAATCTCTCTCCTGAGCAGGGGGTCCTGTCCCAGAGCGGCCCACTTGTGTGTTAACCAGAGGGATATTCCTCGGAAACTCAATCCCACTCTATTAACTATGACGACCACAAACCAGAGCTTGAGAGCGGAACCTGACATAATGCGAGCCTCAGAGCGATCCTTCAGCGCAGCCACAATGAGTCGATCCGAGCAGGCAGGGCGGGCTGATTAGTTCAACACGACTGGCATGGCTCAGTCTGTGGTTGTTAAAAGCCAGCTTGCTTAGCGCTGCGCGACGGCAGACAAGAGAATGGAGGACAAGGACTGTGACAGTGAGCAATATAGAAATGTTCAATGTCAAATAACAAACTGACAAAGCTTAAACAACCTAAAACTAATATTTAAAGCTACTTTCAAGTGCAGAGGTGAGGCTGGTTCAGAAATTCCTCACAGTATGTTTGTAGTAACTGCTGGTTATTCATAATGAACCTAAGTCAAGGTCATTTCCTCTGTGGGTCATTTACTCATTGCTTCACATATTATGGTGCTTTACAAGTCTGTAATCCTTAACCACAATTATGAGGCAAACTGCCTAAAAAAGAATCAGGGTCAGCATGTCAAAAACTTAAATGCACTCAGTTAACGGGCTTCATGAAGACAGGATGATGTCATGTTTGTATCAAGACCTTCACTGTCCTGGTATCCAGGTGGTGGAATAAACTTCCCCTGGCTGTCCAAACAGTCAACGCAAATGAAGATGGAAGACCTGCCTCTTCCCAGGGCACTAAGGTTTAAAAAAAAAAAAAAACACTAGAGATAGCGATCTACTCTTGTGTTCATGGTGGTATTAGCATGAAAGATGAAGCTTTGGAAGCTGATTTGTTTGAGCAGAGTGTACAGATGTAGATGGACAGACTACAGGACTAAAGTGCCGCTGCATCGCTGTCTTTAGGTAGACATGAAGCGAGGGCTAAATCCCGCCGCACCCTAAAAGCAGGTAGTTGAATGGGATTGTGGATGGAATGTAGGAAACCGTCAACTCAACATGTCGAGGAAAGAAGTTCAAATTCAATCACTAAAAATCGTGGACCCCACTAAAGTGCACATGTTAATTATATAGATTAATAAGCAAGTCATTCAGAGTGGATTTTGTCCTTACCAGTAAATATATTTTTTAAACAAAACAGACCCCCTTTCCCTATTAATCCTTACTGTCCAAATGACAAATTATTCACGAGCGCACTGTAAATGCCAATTAAACCATTCATTCAATAAGTATGTGGGCCATTTGTTTTCAAGGCGTGACTCAAGGTGTGAGGGAGCCATCCATTGTCTCTGTGAGCAAGATCTAAATTAAATTACCTGCTTGTTCTTTTGTTTCGCCTCTGGAGCTCCTGTTGACACGTCCCGAACAGAAACAAAAAATCTGTCTTCACATTGCAGCTCTAACCCAAACTCAGTGTGTTTTCATTTAATTTAAAAAAAAAAAAAGAAAAAAAAAAGGATAAATTTAAGGGTGTACCGGCACTATTTTAAACCTGGCTCATTCCCAGAACATGTTAATTGAGAGGGCTTATTAATATGAGCAAACAGAAGGTAGTGGACTCAATCAAGATATGATTAAAAGATTATAAAGCTTCTCCTCTTTGCTCTGTGTGTGTGTGTGTGTGAGAGAGAGAGAGAGAGAGAGAATAAGGTGGTGAATGGAGATGCTTTTAAAAAAAAAAAAAAGGCCCCTTTATGGAAGCGTGAATCAAAATGTCTCAAAATAAGCAGTTTATTAATGACCCACATCCTTACGTCAGGAGCAAAGAAATGAACGGAAATGAGTGGGATGCACTGACTAATCACAAAGTCCTAAAAAACTCACTAGGACATCTAAAAACAGCGTGGATGACTCCTTCTCGCATGAGTGAGCTAAGTGTAAAGGTACAGCGCTCATTTTCAGAACACAGAGATCTACTTAAAGCCAGAAGCCGTCCACTTATCAATAATCTACTAAACCCTTACGACAAGAAGTGCTTCATGTAAACATTCCCTGCCACTGTGAGGCCTATTTGAAATAAAAGTACACGCACTTATTTAGGAACACCTGTACACCTGCTCATTCATGAAAACACCTAATCAGCTAATCATGTCTCAGCAGAGTAATGCATACAAACAGGTCAAGATTCCTCAGTTAATGCTCACATGGGGAAGTCAGTAGTTTTGACCGTGGCCTCGATAGGGTAGTTTGAGTACTTTCAGGCTGAGTAAGATTTGCACAACAGTCTCTCGAATTTACACAAATTGGGGCAAAAAACATCCAGTGAGCAGCGGTTCTGTGTGTAAACGCCTTGTTGATGAGGAGAGGAGAATGGCCAGACTGGGTCGAGCTGACAGGAACACTCCTCTAACTCAAATAACGACTCTTTACAACTATGGTGAACGGAAAAGCATCTCAAGACACACAACACTGAGGCGGATAGGCTACAACAGCAGCAGATCACATGGGATTTCACTCCTGTCAGCCAAGAACAGGAAACTGAGGCTACAGTGGGCACAGACTCACTTAAAGCAGCTGATTGGATAACTGCATGAATGTGCAAGTTTTCCTAATAAAGTGGCAAGTGTGTGTATGTAACCAACTTTTTCTGTGCAATTGCATAGAATTTGCATTGAAGAAGAAAAAAAAAAAAAAGATCTTCGGTAATTATAGGATTACTGAAACCTCATCTAAAGAGAGAAAGTGTGCCAGGGAGTTTATTACCAGAACCCTTTTAGGCAAGGGGAAGCAGATGGGATGTTGAAGAATGTCATTTACACTACAAACTGACTATTTTACATAATAAGATCCAGGAATTTCCATGACATTTCTGCATTAAAAAAAAAAATGCCCCAGTGGAAAAAGTTTGTCAGGAGTCCTGACTCTTTACTGCATTAGAAATCAATAAAACTCTGATCATTACCACAAGAAACTTCACATACTGCTTAAAACAACATCTTAAAGGTGTATTAGGTAAGATTAGTCTTTTTTTTTTTTTTTTTTAAGATTAGGTCTCTAACATTTTGGAGGGTTCAACATTATAATGATTCCCGCCCATGTTCACAAAGCTCCGCCCCTTGGATCTACAGTGGCCTGTAGAGCGTCTGACTGACAGCATCCAAACACAAACAAACCTTCCGGACCGGAAATCAGTTTTCCAAACGGGCTCTCATATCGACTTAATACACTTTTGCTAAGACCACGGCTTAATCCATTGTTTTTTTTTAAATCATGTTCTACATATGTTCCAGGTTATTTGTACAAGGAATTAATTTTTAAAAAAAATCAACTATTTCAACTATATGTTCTGTTATTACACCAAGGCGTAAAAGTGCATTGCCAGCATTTATTTTAGAAGACCTTTGTCGGATTGTGGTGCTACAAAGAGTGGTGGGATGTTAAACGAATGTTAAAGACGTCTGATAAAAAGGAGCCAGGTGGCCATGACTTGACCCTTGGAAAAGACATCTGTAGCCTACCTGTTCTCTGACCCACAAACACAAAGCCTGTATCATGGATCCTGGCTCATCACAAGAACCTCACCATCTGTCCCCATCACCATCACCATCTTTTCTGACCTGGGCCACAGTCTGCGTTCATAGAAAGCAGACAACCACGTGCAAGAAGAAGCAAATTAAACGTCTGAATAGTGCACGTCATCATACTCTGCTTTATCAGCAGCATGTAAAGCACATGGGTGGGGCGCAGAATGCCAAGGCATTGTGATGCACAAACTTGTCCATGTTCGCACACAGCTCAGACTGAGTGATTTTTTTGATAACTTATGCAAAACGTTAAATGGTGTCCTGTGTTTATGTGTAAGATCTGTCACGTCAAACAATGTAACACATGCTGAAGGCATAAAATATCCTTAATCAGATTTGAAAATAAGGCAAATTTACTCTCTTGTGAACTCTAGTGAGCACCATCAAGCCCTTGACCTTTATCAACCACAAAGCGCTTTGGATAAAATCGCCAGCCAAATGAGCGTTTCAAACCGATAGTCAAAATCAATCGGTACATCCTGATACTTCTGAGGTGGAAAAAAAACACGGAAAACTACTGAAAAGCAAAACATGGTCCTTGTGTCCTTTTCCCAGACCCCTTACGAACAGCTCAAACGACTTATACTTATCGAGCTCTCTGAGAAGTTCTCCAATGTGAAGGAAGGTGAGGCAGGAAACACTGAATTACACTGGTGTTTCATCACACCTACATAAGGCAAACCTGCTGCATGAGTCGAGTGTAAAGACAGTAAGAAACTGTACTACAGCTGACATTATGTCAAAATGGTATGAGCAGTGCTGCCTCAGCGGTTTAGGCTTTGGAGGCTTTGGATACTGATTGGAAGGTTGTGAGTTCATATCCCACCACTGGGTCCATCGCACTGGATAAAAGCGTCTGTCAAATGACTGAATGTAAGTCAAGTGGGTTTTTATCGTCGTACCTCTATATAGCTTGTATACACTGGAACGTAATGTCGTTTCTCCAGGACCATGGTGCGATATAACACATAACAGTACACAAGTCTACATACAGAGCGAATAAACAACAATTTGAGACGAATAAAATACACAGAATAATTAATACACAGGACATGTTGTGTAGAGTAGCAGCAAATAAGGGTGCGTAAGGGTAAATAAGGGTGTAAATGAATGTAAATGGCTGAGTGGTTAAGGCTTCAAGACTACTAAACAGAAGGTTTTGAGTTCAAATCCAAGCCTAGATGTAACTCTTGGGTCCATCAGCAACACCATCAACTACTTAATCTCAAATCTAAGTGTTTTGAATGGAAATGTGCAAAATGTAAAGATACAGAAAACATCTCTTAGTGCATCTCAGTGACAACATGATGGTGATATTGAGGACAAAATGAAATTGTGGATGAAACTATGGACCACATCTGGCATCTCAGTCAGTTCAGACTTATGTAAGATTAGAATAAACACAAAACACCATCCGTGGTGCATCTCTGTTCCACTTGCTCCATTTAACTTCCTTCTAATTACTGTATAAAATACCGTAATAACCCCAAAATAAATTCCACATATGCCACAAAGCAGTTCTCACGCCAGTTTTACTTGCCTTACGGTTTTTTAAAAGGCTTTAAACCAAAAACATGGACACGAGCAAAGTACCTTAGCTTGAGGAGCTAATTCGAGCTGGCAGGCTTGCTAACTAGCTAGCTACCCTGACTGCTCAGACCTAGTAGTAATGCTAATGCGTTAGCATCGCTGAGCTAGCTAACCAGCTGTTAGCATGAATTTAATATAAAATACCTTAAAAGCATTGTTAAAGGGACATAGAGCAGTGGGCAAACAGAATGTCGCTAATGCTTAGAAATTATTTAGTTTAGTTAAATGTTTAAAAAAAGGTAGCAGTGTTGGATAGCCTTGCTAGCTAATTAGCTGTATAGCTACATTATTGACTCTTACCTTGAGACTCCAGCTGCCTGTGGTTGCTCGGCTTGTTGAACCGTGTAGGACTCGGAAACACACTGAACCCTAACTGCTCCTCCGCCTGCTACAAGGAGCTAGATTTAAAAAAAGAAAAGAAAAATTCCCTTTTTTTCCCCCTGAATCGACTTAACTTGGAGTTAAGACGCGACACCGCGACTAGTCGTCCTAGTTCTGCCTGTAATCCATCTACGAGCGGGGAGAAACGAGGCTAAGCGCTAAGAGCTCGGGCTACCAGTGAAGCTCCCGGGCTCTGTGCGTGTCTCTAGCGGTGGAGCTCCCCGGAGTCCGGCGGTGAGACCGCAGCATAACCAGCGGCGGCTGTACTGAAGCAGGCGAGCACTCGGAGCTCCGGAGCCGTGTGTATATGTGTGTGTTGTGTGTGTGTGTGTGTATAGTCCGTAACGTTACCCACTCAGTCGTATTTTGCCAGGCTCAACCGCATTCCTCCCTCTATTGCACAATGAGCCGCTATAATTTATTCATGAGCTCATGGGGATGGAGTCTCTCTCTCTCTCTCTCTCTCTCTCTCTCTCTCTCTCTCTCTCCCTCTCTCTGTGTCAGAAGAAAAGAGAAGCAGTTTTTTTTTGTCACTCACCCCCTCATCATCATCATCGCCGTCCTCTCCGGGCTGAACTGAACTTCCCCCTCCGCTGCTCTTCAGGCCAGATTAACAGATCCGCGCATCGAGCGAGTGACAATCGAGCAGCCCGCCTGTCGCTCAGGGACACGGGTTCCGTCCCAAACCGCGCTCTAAAGCACTAACGAGTCTGTCAAACGCGCGCGCCACCACCGCTGACTTTTACTAACACGGTGTGCTGTTCAGTCATACTGTTTAGTAAGCGAGTGTGCATGTTGGTACCTGAGCTTAAGTGCACTATTTATTACAGTAGGATGCGGTTTTGGATGCAGCCCGCATACTATTAAGTACAGTAGAATGTAATTCTAACATGTGGCCTAAGCATTTATTTAGTACAGTGGTAGGCGGGTTTTTTTCTCTTTTGTTTGTTTGTTTTTATTTACATACCACCAGGAATTTATATGGAGGAACTCTATATGGCAAATCTTTGGAGGAATAAAACTGAATATATTTGCACATTTAGTACATTTTAGTATAATTTAAATGATTTAATAATAATTAAATGTAAAAGTTTGAATTTTAATTTAAATCAAAATGTTTATGGGATTTTAGGGTTTTTTTGGGGGGGTGGGCAGAGTTGAATCAGTGTAATGGTTCTAATTTTTAAAATAAATAAAGCACAAATTTAAATACATTAATTATTATTATTATTATTATTATTATTATTATTATTATTATTATTATTATTATTATAGCATTAATAATAATTATTCATGTAGAAAAACAATTATTAAAAGCATTAATAATAATAATAATAATAATAATAATAATGTAAATATCTGCAATGTTTTAGAGATCCAATAATTCTAGGATTCCCCTAGTAAATAGAAATCCACCTCAATATTTTCAAATTTTGCAAATATACAGTGGTGAAACAAATAAACCACAGTCTCTAGACAGCTGCTCTAAAATTTATGATTTAAATTGTCAGATTTATATGAACGCTGTTCAAATGATTTATTTTACAACATCATTTTTTTAGCCTGGCTTTTTTTTTTCAGAAGTTTAAATGATGCTTGTTTTTTTCCTTTTTCTTTTTTGCATGCACTACAATCAACATTGCAGGATGAGTCCACATGTGGTACTGTGTGTATAGTCTATGGAACATAATTTTAAGGTCAAAATGTATATTTTTGTTGCACAAAACACACCATTTTATATTATGACAGACATAATTACGTATAATTTACCTTATCTTGTAATTAATGTTTTATAAAATATTAATTTGCTCTTCTGTATGCCTACAAAGTGCACCTGTATGTTAGGTGTACCTGATAAAGTGGCCACTGAGTGTATGTGGCATATTATTTTGATATAGCATTTAGTAGGATTCTATGCAATTAACATTAGTACAGTAAAATGTGCTTTTAGATTTAGCCTAAATATATTTTTAGTGTAACATTGTACGATTTGAGCTGTAGTCCCAGGAACAAAATATATCGTTGTTAATTTTTTATGAGGTTTTATGAGGTTTATTTCACCTTGTTTATTTCATGTATGTTTACACCAGATAGATCTTCTACATAAATTTCATATATAAATAGTTTTGTTCAAATACAAAATGCACAGCACTGCCCGCTGATTTTGTATTAATGCTCTTTGGACTATTTAACAGGTAGCTACATTATGGACACAGTAGCATGTCCAGGTTTTAAGACAAGAGACATAAATGCATTAGGTGCAGCAGCATCACTGCTAGGAAGAACACAGCCAAAGAAAAAAAGGCCAGCAGTGGTGCTGTGGTCAGAAACAAGCGGTTAGAGAACGATTAAGACAGACGGTGCATAAACAATTAACTTGCTGTCACTACTGTCCTGAGAATGATCCACCAGTCACATAATATCTGGTCAGTGGTGGTCCTATGGAGGTCAATTCCTACTGATAAATGTGTTAGAGGTGGAGCTACAAGCACCATACTGACTACAGTCAATAGCTGTGTACCTGTATGGTAGGTGCAATTCAACTGGCAACTGTAAAACAAATGTAGTTATAATTCAATTTGTATAATCAATACAAAACTGATAGTTAGTACCTATAATAACTTATAATAACTGTAACTGATTTATCTTAATAAATGGTGTTATCTTACTTAAATTATTGTGATGTGAAGGGCCATAATGTATTCACTGAAACAATTACATCAAACTCTATAGGTCACAGCCTAGATGGAAATTTTGTATGAAGCAAATTAAAGGATTCCAATTTGAATTTGGCAAGAGATAGGGATGGGCAATGCAGTGCACAAATGCAGAGGTCAAAGGTCATTTCCCATACACTTCCAAACAATATAAGGATTAGGTTAAATTCCTTGTAATTGCACTTACATTAGTTACTTGCCTACATGAACCAATCTGATTAATTATTAACCTAGTGTATAATGAATTTGTTTATTTTAGTCATTATTTATTACATAAAATTTGTTTATTTTAGTCATTATTTATTACATAGGTTATTGCATTAATTAAAATGAATTGCAGATACATTATTTACAACCCTAGTTTATTATCGATGGTATTACATTATCTTACCATATTGCATTATATGGTATGTACTTAATGACATGGCTATAAGAGTCTTCTGGAGCTGGTCTACCTTTTAATTTAATCAGTGTCTGGATAACGAGAAAGAGTTCATTAGGTTTCATGAGCGTGTTCTTTCTAGATAAACAGAAAGGCGTTTGGGAGCACTTGGAAACTGTGCGAACAGATGTTCCTCAGTTTAGGAGTAGCCAGCAGCACCGTTTGTTACTGGCAGTGTCAAGTCAAAAGAAAAAAGAAGTATTTTGGGGGGACATTCAATTTTCGCTCGTGAGGACTTGACACAGATGCTAGTCAAAAACAAATTTGATATCCTAAAATACACAGATGTTGTCAGTCAGATGTTTTGATGTCAGATGTATGGAATGGAGTTTCTTATGTTTTATTAAAGTGTAAAGCTATCCATAGACGAAACAAAAAGACATGTTAATTAAATATAGCAAAGACCTACATGTATTTAGAGTCTTAATTACTGGCCGTGCTCTGATCCTAATAGGTCTCTAAATGAGTTTTTTTTTTTATTAAATAAGGGTGAATTTAGAGGGCAAACCAATTATGTCTCTAAATGAAAGACTCACCAGTACCAGTATTAATGGTTAAAGCTTTACATAAAAGATCCCATTAAACATTAACATTATATAACACATTAGTTAAACATGAACAAACCATGTACTTCATTAATACACCCTAATTAACATTAACAAAGTAACTTACACTTGTATTAATTGTTGTTTTTTTTTTATGAAAAGCCAAAAAAAAAAGCCAACTAGTCACCATCATCATTAACCAATGTTTATACCATTAATGAGCCCACAATGACCAATATGAACCAACACCTTAATGAATATGTTTGTGGTTATTAACTGGTGAAATCCAGAACTGAGGCTGAAAACCAATAATTACATGAGAGTTCAGGAAGTTAGGAGCATTTAGAAGCATTTATTGTTGGATCCAGAGCCTATACTGGGAACAATGGGTGTGAGGCGAGAATACACCTTGGCTGGAATGTCTGTATACTCCAGGGCACCATGCACACACATTCACACAATAATTCACAGCTAGACTCGCCTAATGACATGTTTTTTGGGAGGTGGGA